TTAAAACTGTATATTTTATTTATAAATTAATAATTCATTATTTTTCCTTTGGCTTAGTCCCTTTATTTATCAGGTGTCGCTACAGCGGAATGAACAGTTAACTTATCTAGCATTTGTTTTACACAGCAGATGCCCTTCTAGCTGCAACCCAGTACTGAGAAACACCCATACACACTTATTTACACACACTTATACACTACAGCCAATTTAGTTTTATCAATTCACCTGTAGCCCATGTCTTTGGACTGTGGGGGACACTGAAGCACCTGGAGGAAACCCATGCTAACACAGTACATTAATAAAATTAACATTAATAATTATCATTGCTCCTGATGATACAGTGACATCTCATGACATGAAACAGTGGATCTGTGCAACAAATTGTACATTATTTACAACATTATCAGCTCTAATCCACAGCCAAATGGTCTTAAACATGTTTATAACAGTATGAACTTTCTAATGCTATCACTTTGATTCAAAGTGTATCAGTATTCATTTTATTTGAAAGATTAAAATGTAATATTTAAATTTTTTACCTAAAGGCAATGCCTTGCTTCAACACTGAAGTTACAATTACAGATTAAAAAGCTACACTTGTTTTTTTCCAGGTAACGCTGTTTCACATGGAATTTGCATGGCTATTAATTAGTGTTTTTCAAAAACACATATTTAACATTCTTAAAAACTAAATATTATTACTTTAGAAGCATAAATGGATTGGCGAAAAAGTATTAACAAACAAACAAAAAAATATTTTAAAAAACAATGGTGTAAGAAAAATAACCTTTTTTTCTTTTGTTTTCTTTTTTTCTCATACAGTACTTATTATTTAAGTATAATAATAAATAATAATACTACAGTATTTATTTAACTGTAATAAAACAACACATATTTTTAGAATAATAAAAAAATATATATTTCAAAGTTATTTTAAAATGAATAAAATGTATACCTGTAATAAATGCATGCAATGTACTCCCTGTGTTCGCGTGGGTTTCCTCCAGGTGTTCCGGTTTCCTTCACAAGTCCAAAGATGTGCAGTACAGATAAATTTGGTAAGCTAAAATTGTCCGTAGTTTACACACATTTTTTATTGGAGACAGGTCAGGACTGCGGGCAGGCCAGACAAGTACCTATATCCTCTTCCTCCGCAGCCAGGACTTTGTAATGTGTGCAGAATTTGGTTTCACATCGTCTTGTTGAAATATGCATGGGTGTTCCTGTAAAAGAAGGCAGCATATTGTGCTCCAAAATTACTATATACTTTTCACCATTAATGGTGTCATCACAGAAGTGCAAGTTACCTTTGCCAATAACACGCACACAACCCAATACCATGACAGCCTTTGGATTTTGGACTTGTTGCTGGATGATTCTTTTTTTTTTTCCTTTGGTCCGGAGCACAAAGCATATATTTTTCCCTGCAAAAAAAAATACCTGAAATACTGATTCATCTGACCACAGTACATGTTTCCACTGTGTGATGGTCCATCCCTGATGCCTCAGAGCCCAGAGAAGTTGATGGCGGTGCTGGACGCTGTGAACATAGGGCTTCCTTTTGGCACAGTACAGTTTTCACTGCCATTTGTGGATGCAACCAGGTATTGTGGTACTTGACAAAGGTTTGCTAAAGTAGTCCTGAGCCCATGTATTGATATTACTTAAATATGAATGTTGATGGTTGATGCAGTGCCGCTTGAGGGATCAAAGATCCTGGTTGTTCTGCTTTTTTTTTTTTTGGAATGTGTTGCAAGAACCAACATTGGAATACATGTTTATTTTGGGGTTGTAGGTTGTAGTATGGTACTATCTTCTTCTTCTTCTTTGGCCTTAGTCCCGTATGGTTGCGGGGTCGGCTCTGTGGAACAAGCCATTTTAGACTTGTCCATATGACAACGACTTTTTTTACACATTCTGGCTGGCTTTTCATCTGTGCCTGTCACCCTCATACACTCATACACTACGGACAATTTAGCCTACCAAATTCACCTGCAGCATGTCTTTATACTGTGGGGGAAACCGAAGCACCTGGAGGAAACCCACGCGAACGCAGGGAGAACATGCAAACTCCTCACAGAAATGTCAACTGAGCTGAAGTTCAAACCAGCAACCCAGCGACTTTCTTGCTGTGAGGCGACAGCACTACCTACTGCGCCACTGCTTAAATAAATAAATGAATGACTGAATGAATGAATGAATGAATGAATGACTGAATGAATGAATGAATGAATGAATGAATGAATGAATGAATGAATGAATGAACCTTACTGACACAAAATTATCTGAACATAGGTAATTGTGAATATCTTATAAAAGGAAAAGAAAATAAGTATTTGAAGACAGGGCAGATTTTAGAACAATATCACAGATGAGTAAACATTCGAAAGTGTTCTGCTAGAGGACACATATATCATCAGCACCACTACCTTTATTCAAAAAGCCCTTCGTCACTGAGGATATTGCTAATCTAAACGATCACATTGAAATATTCATACCCTTTTTGAATACTCCATGCACATAGAATATTTATAGTAATGGGACTCCAGTACACCTAAGTTTAAAGTCAGGGCACAAATCACAAACATATCTGTCAGCATTCTTAATGGCCGCCTGTCATCCGAGACCCCATCATTTATTAAAGAAACGAGTCATGGGATGATTTTTTGCTTATATAGTGAAGTCTGTTTGCTTTATTGAGACACTTTAAGAGACCTAAGAGGGTTTTGTGTGCTAATTATTGTTTTAATTCTGTTAAACGATCTTCTTTTTACGTCTCATAGTGGATGATTTGTGTGCTCTGTAGTGCCTTTGGGCTCTCGCTCATTCAGGTTACTACTGTGGCTCGGAGAAATATCAGGCACCATAAACATTAATGCTGCCCTGGGCTCCAGGCCGGGTCTAACCTCCTTAATACTGATCTACAGTGTGAGATATATCTCTCAGAAGACCAGTGTGTGAGTGTGTGGGTGTGAAAGTTTGATTATATCATTAGAAATGAGTGCTGAGGTAATGCTTTGCTCTAAAGTTAGCATTCTATCATCATTTACTCACTGTAAAAACAGTTAGTTGACTTTTTTTACTCAACAAAATTGAGTAAACTTATTAACTTAAAATTATTGAGTACATAAACTACACTCAAAAATTACTTTTGCAGTTTGTTTAGGCAGCTTATTTAAAGTGAGTTGAAACAATACAATACTTAAGGCTTTTTCAAGGACAAATTAAATGTTTTCTGTTCAGTCCACTTAAATGTGTTAAAATTATTAAGTTAATTTAATCAATTTCAATCAACATGAGGGAATTGTGTGGAACCCAACCTTTTTTAAAGTGTATGTTTATAATTATAAAATAATAAGTTAAGTTCAACTTTACTGTTCCAAGTTAGAATGGGTTTACTTAGGGCACACTAACACTATGTTATCGGAACCGTGCCCAGGCCCGTTTGCTGGATTGTTTGAGAAGTGTGAATGCTCTGAATCGGGCTCAGGCCTGCAAAACTGCAGACGAGACTGAAGACGAGACGTGACTTTTAAAGGACTGTTTGATATGGATTTATTAATCATTCTTACTGTTCATTGAAAGCAAACTGCCGTAGATTATTAAAGACACAAATCCCTCACTGCAGGACAGTAGGTAGTGCTGTCGCCTAACAGTAAGAAGGTCGCTGGGTCGCTGGTTTGAACCTTGGCTCAGTCTGTGTTTCTGTGTGAAGTTTGCATGTTCTCCCTGCGTTCGCGTGGGTTTCCTCTGGGTGCTCTGCTTTCTCTCACAGTTCAAAGACATGCAGTACAGGTGAACTGGGTAGGCTAAATTGTCCATAGTGTGTGGATGGCTTGCAGCTGGAAGGGTATCAGCTGCACAAAAACGTGCTGGATAAGTTGGCGGTTCATTCCCCTGTGGTGACCCTGGATGATTAAAGGGACTAAGCCGACAAGAAAATGAATGAATTCTACATGTTTACCTTTTGTGTGTTTGTATAATGGCGGCTGGATAATCCTCTGTAGTGTGTTCTGTAGTGTTATCAAGATAAGTGATCTTGTACTGTAGCAATAGTTACTTGCTGTAAGCACTTCATTGTGTTTGAGTGTGAGCAGACAGACATAAGCCCCTGTCCATCAGGTAGACTGGCGTCAAGCCCCTGGCACTGAATGGGAGATGATTATTTTCATGCTGGGTCTCTTGTCATATCTCTCCCTGCTGGGAGTCTTATCAAATGTAAATACACACTGCAATGTGCTTCATGGCCGGGCTCAGCTGTTGTTTTCTTTACACCCTGCCACCCACCACCCACCCACGAAACTCTCACTTTTCAGCTCCGCTTGGTTTGAAATATTATAATTAAGACCGGGCTTCTGGGAAAACTGGGAAAAATCTTGTTCAAATGTCTGCAGGCTGTGGTTGTGAACAGTACAATACATCCGGATTTAATTTGTTGTTGTAAATGTCCTTCTGATAAAATTATATTTATTGTCACTATAGTAATGAGTATTTGTTGTTTATATTATGAAATTAGGACATCATGGTGGCTCTGTGGTTAGCACTGTTGCCTCACAGCAAGAAGGTTACTGGTTTGAGTCCCGGCTGGGCCATTTGGATTATCTGTGTGGATTTTGCATGTTCTCCCTGTGATGGCGTGGGTTTCCTCCTGGTGCTCTGGTAGTAGTGTATGTGTGTGTGTGTGTGTGTGTGTGTGTGTGTGTGTGTGTGTGTGTGTGTGTATGTGTGTGTGCGTGTGCATGTGTGTGTTTGAGAATGATGCAAACATGTAAACTCCACACAACTTAATTGTTAAATGTTCAATCCACTTAAATTAGAAAAAAAAAAACAATAAAGATAAGGTACTGCTTTTTTGAAATTGTGTGGATCCCTGGATTTTTTACAGTGTAGCTTTATAATAATATTTTACATTTTAAACAAGAAGCTGGAACTAATTCTAAAAACCAAGCTCAGTTCATATCTCTAACAATCTATTTTTCTCCTCTTTTGACTCCCCACAGGACCCTGGATTTGCTTCCTTCATCATAGAACAGCTGCAGATCCCCGATTGGCTCCTGAAAGGTGGACATGAAGGCACGAGGTGTCCGGCGTGTGGCTCATCAGCACAGCAGCTGAAACAACAAGCGCTTCAGACTCTCCAAGATCTGTACCCCTGTCCCGACATGCCATCTCTACCATCCAGCACCTTTCCCGGACATCCAGCCAGGCTGATGACTCACGGCGTGGTCACTGTCTCCTCCAGACCAACCAAATCCAGGATCCCTCATCCAGCGCACAGCGTCCTGCCTGTGGGCGAGCGTCAGCGGGAGCTAGGCTGGTCTCAGAGCTCGTCCTCCAGTGTTTCAACTCTGAAACCCAGCGTTCAGGTGACCATGGCTGGAAGACCACTGGCGGGAACCATCAGCTCAGTCACCATTCAAGCGCAGCAGTACCTGGAGGGCATGTGGAGCATCTCACGCGTCAACAACTTCCTGCCTCAGCCAAACCCAGTAGGAATTATTTTTCAATCATTTCCTAAAACAGCAAACAACATGCCTTCCTACGGATCTATAGATCATTTGTCACATTTTTTAGGAAATACAACTGATACGTGTGTTTACTAAAATAGTGAACTTATTAATAAACATTAACAGTATTCATTTATCCATTTTCTTTTCAGCTTAGTCCCTTTATTAATCAGGGGTCGCCAGCGAAATTAACTGCCAACTTATCCAGCATATGTTTTACACAGCGGAATTCCTTTTAGCCGCAACCCAGCACTAGGAAACACCCATACACTTGCATTCACACCCACACATAAACTATGGCCAATTTTATAAGTTTAATAATGAGTTTAAACAACACAATTCTTCTTCTTCTTTTTTTTTTTTTTTGGAATTATTTTTTACTAAAGTAATAAAACTGTTACAACTCAATTAATCTATTTTTTGGCCTTTTTTAGATAGGACAGTAGTGAGACAGGAAGCAAAGTGGGAGAGGGCTAGGATTGGGAAATGTCTTTGAGGTGGGATTTGAACTCAGGACACCCTGTTGTGTTATTGCACCATGTGTGTGCATGTTAACCACTTGGCTATTGCGGTTCCTTCGTCTTTATTTCTATGGCACTTTTACAATGTAAAATCAAAAAATTGGTAACTTGAAATATAAACTGTGTCAGTCAATATTAATATACAATACAATCAATATTAGTATTTAAAATGGTAATTCAGATATTTATAATAAAATCTTGTTACTAAAATAGTTGCCCTAACACAAGGCTTAATGCATTGTGCTCTTTCTTCATTGCTAAAATGCATGAATCGTTTAACTCAGTCGAGTTTGGGTTAACACTTTATTTTGATGGTCCATTTGAGTATTAGTAGACTGTTTGCTTAATATCTGTTGATACTGACAAAGTTTTTTATAGTCAGTTAAATGTCTGTTGAAGGACAACAGACAATTAGCTGAGTATAAGAATACATGAACCGCGAGTGAGAGAGGAAATAAGTCAAAATCATAATTAAGACGTATTCTTTAAACTAATGACTTAAATTAAAATGTTGACAGAGGTTTTGTAATATAATAATAACAGCGGAGCATTAATTAAATGCATATTATCTGTGGAGCGATCTTTTGAGGTAGCCTGATATTTTTATTTTACTAAAGAAAAAAACATGATTGGACAAACAGCCTATGTCGGTTCTTAAAAAGGATTCAGTCAGTGTTTTCGTTTTGTAATCAAAATTTTTCATTTGAGCAAAAAATCTAGAGCAGGATTTATTTTATTAGTTTTATTTAGTTTATTCTGTTTTTCTATGCTGCTGAAAACACTGCAGGTGCGTGAAGATGCTCTGTTATGTTCTGTATGCTGTCTGCATGTTAAAATAAATCAGTATTTTAATATTTAATGTGCATATATATTTAATAGAGTCAAACAAAATAGCATTTATTAATAAATTGTTTTAATTAAATGATATTTTAATAGGCGTTTATTCATTGTTTATTTAAATTAAATAATATTTTAATATTAATCTGTTAGCGGTTAACTGTTAATATTTGGTTAACGAGCGGGGGTTGTCTGTTGGCAAAATTAACCAAAATGAGCATCCCTACTCACAAGACATTAAACGTGGTCAATAAGCATAAGTGAAAATCATTTTGATGTCTTAAGGTCTTAAGGGACTGTCTATAAAATCCATACAATACAATTAAACAAGCCATAATTTTGATTAGTTGTACTAGTCATATGTCATTTCATATAAAATCACCCAACATGACGTTGTCATCATTTTTGCATCTATTAGAGGTTGTAACTATAGGTCATATAACATTTTTTGCACAAACAACCTATTTGGTTGTTTTTTCAATAAGAAAACTCTCAAAACAAATGCTTTGAAGTGTTTCATCTCATGCTAATTTTTCGCTCTAGGTGAAGTTGTGCGGAAGAAATAATTGAGATTAATTCCATGTCATTCCTGCCTTTGCTTCATGTGTAATCTACTCGCGCAAATACTTATATCCGCATTTGCCGTGAACCTATCATTAGTTTGTGTCTATGTGTGCATTCTCTGAAAAGGCTTCAATGTTCAGTGTTGGAGCTTTTTTCTGGGTGCAGGGGTTGAAAATAACAGTGATTTGGATGTACTTTCACATCTTTCCAAGTGAAAGGAGCTGCTGTTATTGTAATGCAATGGTTAAGAGAAATGGAAAAACTCGCTGTGATGTCTGGTCAGGTTATGTGAGCCTAAAGTTGTCTGAATGAATTGAGATTGAAAACGTCTGTACTTTAAATTACGTGTGGTAAGTTAGACATAGAAATATTGAGAGCATGCTTAAACATGCATGTAGACTGTGTTAAGTGAGTGAGTGTTATCTGTGATCGAGTGATTTGGACATACAGTTGTGTAAAACATATGCCAAAGTAACTGGTGGTTGATTCGGCTCTGGCGATCACTGAAAATGCAGGGAATATGCTGAAGATAAGTGAGTGAGTGAGTGATTTGGAAATATCTTTGTCAATGAATCTAGAAGAGATCAGTGTTGGTGTTTAAGTTACAATAAAATGTTATTTATTTTAAAAGAAAAGATTACACCAAAATATTCAATATTTGAAGATATGCTAATATGCTTAACAGCCAACAGTCATCCTGCATATCTCACATTTATGTGCAACCAGACTTTGTTTAAACATTTTAAGGCATAGGTCTTAAACTCAATTCCTGGAGGGCCGCAGTTCTGCACAGTTTTGCTTCAACAACACAGCTTTTTGCAATCAAACACAGCTGATCCAACTAACCAATATGACTATGTAGCACCCTTTTCCTATTTCAAGGGAAAGGCCCTGGTTTCTTATTAATTAGATCACTTACAATTATATTTTAACCCTAAAAAGAAACCCACAACATGATACAAATTAATATAAATAATTATCACAACCAATCCGGTACAAAATTACCTTTAAAATTTTTATTTAAAACAATTAAACAAAGGTATACAGACAAAAGAAATAAAGGTTTTGGCTCAAAATAAAGCTTTTTGTTTTTTCTTTTTCCAAAACTCAAAGATCAAAATGCAACAGTTCATTTAGTAAAGCTCAAACATTGTCCATATGAAATGAATAGTGAAATAAATAAACCCCGTTGCAGGCCTGTGTTAGTGCTCGTGTTCATAGTGGCATAAAAACGACTGCTTCATTACCATAAAGGGCAAACAGACATCAGTTCGTTTTTACCGGAGCCAGGGAATGCTACAAAACTGGAGTTATAGTTCGTGAAGGAGTCAGCAGGGTGCATCGCATCTAGTGCTGCCAGAGGAGCCACTGAGTGATCCTGGTTTTTCAGGGTGATCTGGGATGCTCGTGGTTGTTGGCGATACTCAATTGCAGTCCACTAACACAAACTTGCATATCTCCGCTTTAGGGGCTAAAGCTGTATTTAGTAAACACAGAGCAACAAATAGTCTAGGGATTCTCAAGGAGGAAATTGCTATCCTCACAGGATCATAGTGGTATAAGCTCTCTCCAATATTTGAGCAAATATTCTCTCTCATGCCAATATCATACCAACCCTGACAACATCCACACCCTTCATATACCTTCTGGGATACTAATTTCCAGTCAGACACTTCCGTAATAGGACAAAAGATAAAACTTTCAAATGAAATAAAAATACATACATTCAGAAACAAAACATCCATCATTCAATGAACAAAATAAAAATATTATAACAAATAAATTAGTTGACAGTTGGGCTTCAACTACTAGACTGCAAAATCGCCTACTACTTAGTACATACTTCACTTAAGTTTAAACATACTACTTAGCCATTAGAAAAGTACGTTCTATTCAGTGTGAATAGGATGAATGGAGCTCGGATGTGCTACATCCGCCTTTTTGTCATTATCACATGACCTACCTGCGTCAGTTGTGTCGCTTCACTCCCATTAATAAATTCTCTAGCAGTGCATCATGGCAGAGCGTAGCATCCATCTGTTGTGCACTTTAGAATCTCGCCGGAAACAGTATGTCATCCACTTTTCACATACTGTTTTTCGAATTCTATGAATTCGGACATACTACTCGGCCCGATTTTAGAGTACTATATGAAGTTTTATAAAGTGATTTCGAGAGGAGTATGTTATATGAATGATCACAGCTGGTCTCACATCAATAATCATTCTAGACCAATCAGAATAATTCTAACATCCAATAAATAAGCCCATTCATCCTACTTTCCTTATCTTTGTTTGGATGAACCCTCCATGCCGAGCTTAGGGTTCTCTCCCAGGACAGTATGCCAAATCTGCAAATTATATCAAGCAATAACTAAGTGGGAACTCTTAATATAGTATGAAAGTTTGCAATTTTAGATTAAGCTCTTGTGTCTAGTAGTCTTGAACACATTAATTAGTTGGATCACCTTAATTAGGGTCTACTGACACTATGCCATCCTTACTGTGCCCAGGCCTGTTTCCCGGATTGTTTAAGAAGTGTGAGGGCGCTGAATCTGGCTCAAGCACGGTTCATTTGGCCGGCCCTAGCTCGGTTGGAAGAGGTGGGCCAGAGCGCGATTTACTTGGGCTTACGTATGCGGTATGTTTGTAGTGTCAGTGCAAAACGCACCAAAGCCCGAAACTGAAAAGGAGACATGACTTTTAAGGGACTGCTTCATCTGGATTTATTAATCTTTCTTACTGTTCAGTGAACGCAAACTGCCGTAGTTTATTAAAGACGCAAACCTCTCACTGCACGACAGCTGCGCACCTTCAGCAGACTTCCTCATTACTGCAGCACGAGGGTTTTATGATAATGAGCGCCAAAAGTGGCGGATCTGTTCGGGGAAATATCTGACTGCGTGTCACCGCATCCCTAAGGACTGTTTGGCGAAATATTTGACTGCACGTCACTGCATATCAAACGACTGAAAGGATATAACTAGAGAAATCTCCACTGTGCTGCTGAGTGAGAGCGCTTCTCACTGAACTGCACAGCAGCAATGACGTAAGCTTGCCC